TTTTGCTGGGTTTTTTTGCGCACTTATGAAAAATGGCAAAAGTCCCTAAAAATGGACGAAAAGTTAAGGCTAAAGCCTTACTTTTTTGCTGTTTTTTTGCGCACTTATAAAAAATGGCAAAAGTCCCTAAAAATGGACGAAAGTTAAGGCTATAGCCTTACTTTTTTGCCGTTTTTTGCCCACTTATGAAAAATGGCAAAAGTCGCTAAAAATGGACGAAAAGTTAAGGCTAAAGCATTACTTTTTTGCTGTTTTTTGCCCACTTATGAAAGATGGCAAAAGTCGCTAAAAATGGACGAAAAGTTAAGGATATAGCCTTACTTTTTTGCTGGTTTTTTTTGCGCACTTATGAAAAATGGCAAAAGTCCCTAAAAATGGACGAAAAGTTAAGGCTAAAGCCTTACTTTTTTGCTGTTTTTTTGCGCACTTATGAAAAATGGCAAAAGTCCCTAAAAATGGACGAAAGTTAAGGCTATAGCCTTACTTTTTTGCCGTTTTTTGCCCACTTATGAAAAATGGCAAAAGTCGCTAAAAATGGACGAAAAGTTAAGGCTATAGCCTTACTTTTTTGCTGTTTTTTGCGCACTTATGAAAAATGGCAAAAGTCCCTAAAAATGAACGAAAAGTTAAGGCTATAGCCTTACTTTTTTGCTGTTTTTTGCGCACTTATGAAAAATGGCAAAAGTCCCTAAAAATGGACGAAAAGTTAAGACTTTTTTGCTGTTTTTTGCGCACTTATGAAAAATGGCAAAAGTCCCTAAAAATGGACGAAAAGTAAAGAGTATAGGCTTACTTTTTTGCTGTTTTTTTTTTCTTTTATGAAAATGGAAAAAGTTGCTAAAAATGGACGAAAAGTAAAGGCTATAGGCTTACTTTTTTGCTCTTTTTTGACCAATTATGAAAAATAGAAAAAGTCGCTAAAAATAGACGAAAAATGGACGAAAAGTAAAATATAGCCTTACTTTTTTGCTAGTTTTTTTTGGCTTTTATGAAAAATAGAAAAAGTTGCTAAAAATGGACGAAAAGTAAAGAGTATAGGTTTACTTTTTTGCTGGTTTTTTTTTTGCTTTTATGAAAAATGGAAAAAGTTGCTAAAAATGGACGAAAAGTAAAGGGTATAGCCTTACTTTTTGCTGTTTTTTTTGGCCATTTATGAAAAAGGCAAAAAGTCGCTAAAAATGGACGAAAAGTAAAGGGTATAGGCTTACTTTTTTGCTGTTTTTCTCTGGAATTTATGAAAAAGGGAAACAGTTGATCAAAATGGACAAAAAGTAAAGGGTATAGGCTTACTTTTTTGCTGTTTTTCTCTGGAATTTATGAAAAAGGGAAACAGTTGCTCAAAATGGACGAAAAGTAAAGGGTGTAGGCTTACTTTTTTGCTGTTTTTCTCTGGAATTTATGAAAAAGGGAAAAAGTTGCTAAAAATGGACAAAAAGTAAAGGGTATAGGCTTACTTTTTTGCTGTTTTTTGCGCACTTATGAAAGATGGCAAAAGTCCGTAAAAATGGACGAAAAGTTAAGGCTATAGGCTTACTTTTTTGCTGTTTATGCGCACTTATGAAAAATGGCAAAAGTCGCTAAAAATGGACGAAAAGTTAAGGCTATAGCCTTACTTTTATACTGTTTTTTGCCCACTAATGAAAGATGGCAAAAGTCGCTAAAAATGGACGAAAAGTTAAGGCTATAGCCTTAACTTTTTGCTCTTTTTTGACCAATTATGAAAAATAGAAAAAGTCGCTAAAAATAGACGAAAAATGGACGAAAAGTAAAATATAGCCTTACTTTTTTGCTGGTTTTTTTTGGCTTTTATGAAAAATAGAAAAAGTTGCTAAAAATGGACGAAAAGTAAAGAGTATAGGTTTACTTTTTTTCTGGGTTTTTTTTGCTTTTATGAAAAATGGAAAAAGTTGCTAAAAATGGACGAAAAGTAAAGGGTATGGCCTTACTTTTTTCTGGGTTTTTTTGGCCATTTATGAAAAAGGCAAAAAGTCGCTAAAAATGGACGAAAAGTAAAGGGTATAGGCTTACTTTTTTGCTGTTTTTCTCTGGAATTTATGAAAAAGGGAAACAGTTGCTCAAAATGAGCGAAAAGTAAAGGGTATAGGCGTACTTTTTTGCTGTTTTTCTCTGGAATTTATGAAAAAGGGAAAAAGTTGCTAAAAATGGACAAAAAGTAAAGGGTATAGGCTTACTTTTTTGCTGTTTTTCTCTGGAATTTATGAAAAAGGGAAAAAGTTGCTAAAAATGGACAAAATGTAAAGGGTATAGGCTTACTTTTTTGCTGTTTTTTTTTGCTTTTATGAAAATGGAAAAAGTTGCTAAAAATGGACGAAAAGTAAAGGGTATAGGCTTACTTTTTTGCTCTTTTTGTCCCAGTTATGAAAAATAGAAAAGGTCTCCAAAAATGGACGAAAAGTAAAGGGTATAGCCTTACTTTTTGCTGGGTTTTTTTGGCCATTTATGAAAACGGGAAAAAGTTGCTCAAAATGGACGAAAAGTAAAGGGTATAGGCTTACTTTTTTGCTGTTTTTTGGCTATTTATGAAAAAGGGGAAAAGTTGCTAAAAATGGACGAAAAGTTAAGGCTATAGCATTACGTTTTTGCTGTTTTTTGCGCACTTATGAAAGATGGCAAAAGTCCCTAAAAATGGACGAAAAGTTAAGGATATAGCCTTACTTTTTTGCTGTTTTTTTGCGCACTTATGAAAAATGGCGAAAGTCGCTAAAAATGGACGAAAAGGTAAGGCTATGGGCTTACTTTTTTGCTGTTTTTTTTGCCATTTACGAAAAAGAGAAAAAGTCGCTAAAATGGACGAAAAGTAAAGGCTATAGGCTTACTTTTTTGCTGTTTTTTTTTGCTTTTATGAAGAAGGGAAACAGTTGCTAAAAACGGACGAAAAGTTAAGGCTATAGCCTTACTTTTTTGCTGTTTTTTGCCCATTTATGAAAAATGGCAAAAGTCGCTAAAAATGGACGAAAAGTTAAGGCTATAGCCTTACTTTTTTGCTGTTTTTTGCGCAAATATGAAAAATGGCAAAAGTCGCTAAAATGGACGAAAAGTAAAGGCTATAGGCTTACTTTTTTGCTGGTTTTTTTTTGCTTTTATGAAGAAGGGAAACAGTTGCTAAAAACGGACGGAAAGTTAAGGCTATAGCCTTACTTTTATACTGTTTTTTGCCCACTTATGAAAAATGGCAAAAGTCGCTAAAAATGGACGAAAAGTTAAGGCTATAGCCTTACCTTTTTGCTCTTTTTTGGCCAATTATGAAAAATAGAAAAAGTCGCTAAAAATAGACGAAAAATGGACGAAAAATAAAATATAGCCTTACTTTTTTGCTGGTTTTTTTGGCTTTTATGAAAAATAGAAAAAGTTGCTAAAAATGGACGAAAAGTAAAGAGTATAGGTTTACTTTTTTGCTGGTTTTTTTTTTGCTTTTATGAAAAATGGAAAAAGTTGCTAAAAATGGACGAAAAGTAAAGGGTATAGCCTTACTTTTTGCTGTTTTTTTGGCCATTTATGAAAAAGGCAAAAAGTCGCTAAAAATGGACGAAAAGTAAAGGGTATAGGCTTACTTTTTTGCTGTTTTTCTCTGGAATTTATGAAAAAGGGAAACAGTTGCTCAAAATGGACGAAAAGTAAAGGGTATAGGCTTACTTTTTTGCTGTTTTTCTCTGGAATTTATGAAAAATGGAAAAAGTTGCTAAAAATGGACAAAAAGTAAAGGGTATAGGCTTACTTTTTTGCTGTTTTTTGCGCACTTATGAAAGATGGCAAAAATCCGTAAAAATGGACGAAAAGTTAAGGCTATAGGCTTACTTTTTTGCTGTTTATGCGCACTTATGAAAAATGGCAAAAGTCGCTAAAAATGGACGAAAAGTTAAGGCTATAGCCTTACTTTTATGCGTTTTGCGCAAGACAAATGTATCTCTTTTTATGAACAAATTGTTCCACATAAGGGTACATTTATCTCAACCTGGAAACCTGAAAAATATTTCAGATATGTTCAGGACAAGGTGCGTGGCAAATGAATCCAATGGCCCAACATATTTTACGATAGTTTGTAAAAGCTGTTAGGACACTTGGATGCATTTTGAAGATGTGATGTGTGCATTTCTATATTTAGATTTTTGGCGCATTTTGCTTTTATCGCGCGCAAGAAAATTGCAACGCGCGCACTCAATTTAAATTAACATGCAGTGGTTTTCATGCCCTTAATTTTACTAAGCATGCAACTAAGCGCGTTTAATTTTAATATGCATGAAACTTTGCGCACTTTACTAATCAACATGCACCTCTAGACTATATAGAGCACACGTCACTATTTGCACATGGAGTACACTCACTGACTGTACTCCGCATTGCAGCAGCGCGCGCGCCGCGTATGCTAATTAGCTGCGCACGACCATGGTGTTTTTACTATCCATGGTTCGACCAAGCTCATGCACGAACAATGCAAGACAACACGGAATGGAACATGGCAAACATTCTATATTGCTATTGCGACCGTATATAAACTTGATCTGCAGAGTGTTTTCACGGCGGCTATGTTTGGGAACAAGTTAAAGTGCCGAAATACAAGTAAACAAGAAAACTATTGTTTTAAAATACTTGTCCGTCAACAAAAGCAACACGTGAAAACACTCTAATTTTCCTGGCGGCCTTTTCAACTGAAAACTTATAGTACAATTTATAAAGCGCGCGCGCGCAATGCATTAGCAACCTAAAGAAACGAGCCTATTCTCCATTTTGGAGCGAGAACTACGTTTCTTATTGTTAAGCTCCTAATCCAAGATATTTTAGGCAGAAAACCGTTTCTTTTTTGGTTGTTTTTTTCTGCAACTCTGAGTATTCTTGGACTATTGTTGCTTATATTCAAAGTGGTTTCGCGGTTTTCTTTTTTTTTTCGCAATATTTTTTTTCCACTTTGAATTGATTCTGTAAGTATTTTTCAACAGGAAAACAGATTCCATTTTCCTGTTGTGCTAAATACTTCTTACTGGCGCAAAAATACGACGATGAGTTATAGTATACATGCCTTATGGTATACATGCAAAGCGCCCTATTTCTAGCTGCCTAACCTTCCTAACTAGTGCGCGCGCACATATCATTTCAAGAACCTGCAAGGGAAACCCCCGAATGTGGAGTCTCGGGCATGCCCCTAGCTTAACTTAACCTAGTGTGCCGATCGCACCTGGTGAGCTTCCACAAACAGGGGTAAGATTAGCATGCCTTATGTTAATGTCTTCCATCGTCGAGCCGTCAAAACAGTGAGGGGACCTAAATCTCTGGTAGCGAACTGTTTTCATATAACACGGGGTAGAAAACTAACGTTCGAAACCAGCGATATACATGCACTACGGGCGAAGAAATTTCCAGCCAATTTATTATTCAATAAAGCCTAGACTATTTATCAATACAATAATTTTGTCATTACAGTCCTAAGCTGATCTTGTCCACCACGATATCCACCAATCTTCTTACGGGTACCATTTGCACCCTCTAAGCTATGGATACCATTTGCATCCAATTTAGTTATCCTATCCAAGGAAAACTATGCCAGCTTTTATACAAAATTTTGGCTACACCCATATATTACGTACACAAATATACAGATCACGTAATGGATTAAGGTTAAGGTTATAGGGTTAGATTTAACCCCAAGCCAAAGCCTAACACATTTCATGATATTTCTATACATTTATGAACATAACATGTAGATATAAACAAAATTTTTAAGTCTGGCAAGGTTTTACTTATCTGCCTATATTCTGGATACTAGCTGCGCGCTGCGTTCATCCATGCACAGACACCTAAGCAGTACATTTACACAAAGAGAACAACATTGGCACGAACAGACTGCTAATACCTAGTGGGTCTCACTACGAGTTACTAGAGTGAAAAAATAATGTTCACTCCTTTTCACTTTATGTAGTAGTCTGGTATTTGAAGCAAAATAAATTGCTCCAGGAAGTTCTAACATTTCCGATGTTGACCATCGTTTGGATTGTAACACTTACTGAAACCCACCAATAACCGAACCGAGTGCATGCAACGAACCACGTGACCGAAAGCTCAAATGTTAACCTCTTTAAGGGGCTGATTACATGGACCGGGCCAGCCCGGTTAACCGGACTGAAAAATGTCACGAAAATCTTCCTTGGGCCGCAAAATGAGTTTTAAATCGGGTTTAGGATGATTTTGCATCTATACTAAACCAATTATTTATCGCAAATTTATTTTACGCGAGTTTTAAAACCACAGTAAGGTCCGGTTAACCGGGCCAGCTCGGCACCATGTAATCAGCACCTAAGATTGACTTTCGATTCAGATAATGTCGAAATTCTTATTAACCGAGGTCAAAAATTGTACCACAATTTTTATTAGCATGCAAGCATCCGAATAAAAATCAACCTTGCGTGCAAATGTACTACTAGCGACAGACCGCCAGGAATTTTAAACCGGTTAACCCAGAGATTTCATCGACCACATGCAAATTAGAGTCCTGGGTATGAATCCTACAGATATACTGCCTGTTAGCAGGCTAACTACTGCCTGATAACAAGCTAACAACTGCTTGTTACCAGACTAAACACTCTAACCTTGAGGCAGTCATCTCGTTGCCGTCGTACAGCTTTCGTTGTCAAGGTACATTAGTAGGTAACCATCGATCGCAAGAGGTACATTTTATCCACAAATGTTCATAATAATCCATAAGTGTTTGTTGTAATCCATCAATGTTCCCAATTATCCATAAATGTTCACAATATCTCCAATAGTACACAGTGTCAAAGTAATCCATATTTATCCATTGGTATCCGCTACGACTCCCACTGGACCTCCCATCCGACACCTCAAATGACGTTTTGGCCAGTTTTAAATTTTTTTGGTCAATATTTTTAATACAATTATAGTATCTGCGAGCAACACATTAACTAGTCAAAAGCCATGAAATTCTTGAAAGATTAAAGCTCAAAGAATGTTTATATTAAAGATATTCAAGCCAAAATCCCAAAGTCTACATCAAGATGGTAACGGGGAAAACGCTGGATAAAGCCATACATACAAAAAGTCGGCCACAAATCAAAGTTTGGTCGTACTTCGGCTTGATCTTTCCAGGCCTACAGGCGAGCTGTCCCAATCTCATGCCACGAACAAAAAGCACTGATGTAAGGTTGGCCAGACCTTGCACCTGTGCTAGTTGATCACGACAATCGATATCGATCAGGGCAACTCGACTGTAGGTCGGGAAGGTCCGAGCAGAAGTATCACCGAACGCCGACGAATGGTCGACCACTCATCTGGCATGATTTTACCTAGCGTTTAAACCAAATACCAAAGTGATGTAAATTTCAAAATTTCATTTCAAGTATCTTTCAAATAAACAAACTCCCAGACAGAACCGTCCGAATTTCAAACATTTCGATTTCGTTAATAGCTTTTCACAAACACCAGAAAATGTCAAAAATTTGAATAAATTGCGAAATTAAGGTGAAAAGTGCCACATTTAAATTTGTTTTGTGCATTTGGGCGTCCTCAGGGTGGTCCCCACGTACTTTCGAACACGACGAACGAGAATCACGAGAACAATATACCTTCTGTAATGTACAGCATCTTTCACGGCTATTTCATTGGCTGGTTGGTGTGGCGCGTTGGTTTTGGTTTTTGGATGGTACGGCGTCGTGGCTTGACAGGTCTTGATACCCTTTCACAATTGGCTGACTGAGCAAAATCCGATGATGGGTGTATATGCTTTCGAGCGTTCCCTTACTGTCAGACTATGGTATCAAGTTGTATTTTTGGCCTTTGCCTTCTCGTTTGGCTTCAACTACTAGGCGAGCGTCTCCTCGAATCTGTGCAGAGGTCTTTCTGTACTGTTTGCCGTCAGAATGATTGAACTTGAGGCAACTTAAAAAAATTGGATAATGAATTTTTAGTTTAAAAACAGTAAAGAGTTATTTAATGTCGTTTACACAGGATGTGGTTGTCCAATTCAATTTATTTTAATTTTAAAGAATGCGTGCATGTAGGTCGATACTGATTAGGGGATGAACCACGAGGACATTTCATCTCTGAACTGCTTCAAAAGATTTGGATTTAGATTCAACTTAGACAAGCTCAAAAACCTCGTCGAATTGAACATGTCTAAAATGAGTCTGCATTTCGCTCTTACGGACAAAATTTTCAACAAAATTTAAGCTAAATTTGACAGAGAGTGTTCATAAAGCTACAAGGCTTTACTAGAAGACGTTCTAGCTGTATAAGGGAAGCTTAAAAACGATAAAAAACAAGGACTGAAACGCCTTTAGTGGAAATTATGCTTACCAAGTGCTAAGTACTTCGCCTTTTCGACCATGTCTGCGACTTAAATTGGTTCACTTTTTCTTCAAATTTTCGCCCTGAAATCGCAGATAAAGTAAATATGAGTTACATAAATCAAAACTGGCGTATTTCTGAACATTACTGCTACAAAATGAGGGAGGAATACTAAGGAAATAAAGCGACAAAGCGCGATAACGAAGGTCGAAGCGCTTGAATGGAATCAAATTCAATTCAAATTAATACAATGAATATATATACACACGTGTTTCAAAAACAGCAATATCTTAACAAGAACAACTCAAAAACGTTAAAAAAATAGCTAAATTTAATACTGACCTTTTTCTCTGCAAGGCACACCGATTTTATTTCGAAAAAGTTTTAAGAAAGCGAAGTTTTGTTGCATTAACTAATTGCGTACTCTTCTGAACTTCGAGTCAAAATGTGGCCTCGAGCAGAAATATTCAAATTTGCCACGAATGCGTAAACCACACCTTTGTTTGCTGTTGTCAGATTTTTACGAGCTCTGATTGGTTTAGCTTGCAAAAGCTTTGCTATCATTGGCTGCTGCTGAACGCGCGCATGCATTGGTCTGACTCCCTTGGGGTTTGGAATGGTTTTTTTTTTAATTGAATATCCAGGGTAATTGCGGCCGTTCCGGGGGGAACGCGAAATCAAAACCCAGAAACTTTTAAACTTGGAATGGAAAAGGACGGAATCTTTAAAATCAGTGGAACAGAAAAAGCTGGAATCTTTAAATCCGGAATGGAAAACCCCGGAATCTATAAAACCCAGAACAGAAAAAGCCAGAACTTTTAAATCTGAACTGGAACCCCCCCCCCCGAATCTTTAAACTCGGAATCGAAAAAACCCCGAATCTTTAAACTTGGAATCGAACACCCTCCGAATTTTTTAACTCGGAATCGACAAACCCTTGAATCTCTAAACTTGGAATCGAAAACCTCCCGAATTTTTAAACTCGGAATCGAAAAACCCCTGAATCTTTAAACTTGGAATCGAAAAACCCCCGAATCCTTAACTCGGAATCGAAAACCCCCCGAATCTTTAAACTAGGAATCGAAAAGCCCCCGAATCTTTAACTGACTTGGAATCGAAAACCCTCCGAATTTTTAAGGGGCCTTTAAACTTTTGGAATCGAAAACCCCTCGAATCTTTAAACTTTGTAGCTCTATCAGTTCTAAACTGTTCTCCCTGGAGGTCCAATAACTTAGTAAGGGTCATCTCTTATTAATCCAATGTTATTACAAGATGAAACCTCAACTAAGCTAACTTTATTTACACTGGGTGGCTCTACTAGTTATAAACTGTTCTCCCTGGAGGTCCAGTAACTTAGTAAGGGTCATCTCTTATTAATCCAATGTTATTACAAGATGAAACCTCAACTAAACTAACTTTATTTACACTGGGTAACTCTACTAGTTATAAACTGTTCTCCCTATGGATCCAGTGAGGATCATCTCTTACTGATCCAGTGAGAACCAAACTTACTACAGGAGGAATATAACTAATTTATTTATACATGTAGTTACTACGAGAAACCAGAGTGCCCGGAGGAAACCTGTGATGTTTGTTAAAGTCAAACTGTATTTAAGTCTGTACTCTTATAATTTCACACGTGACTGAGTTTGTGCATGTCTGAATTAATAATGGAAGGAGTGGTGGGTGAGAAAGAGGGACCATCTGAAATATTTTTTAGCCTGAATGGGGCGGCAGCCTCAAAGCCAAAATGTGCCAGGAGGGTTACTTGAAATGGTTGATGAAACCACTTAACAAAAATTTAACATGTGGTATCAACCAATAGTTGTAATATAAATGGTTTCATACCAGTTTAGTAGCATTAAATGTTTTACACAGTCCAGAATTCTTGTCGATATAGCATTTAGATGGCTAGCGTTATTATACAGTGGCTAGGAAAGAAGTGTCTTTATTCCGGAACTGCAAAGTTTTGGCAATGGAACAAATCAATTTAATTCCTGCATGTAAACATTGTGATAAATTTAAAATGAAGTCAGAAATGAACAGCATATTATTTAATGTTATGTGGTAACACAACGTTTACATCTTTATGACCAGGGATGCTAAGAACATGTTGGGCCGGATGAAGATTGTAACAATTTCGTCGGCAACTTGCAAAGCTTTTTCGGCATCTTTTTTGCCATATACTTCTGCTGGAACTTTGGGGAATGGATGTTCATCAGGGTAGCGGGGTTTCTTGTTGTAATTTTTAATTTGATCGGCTAAATGTACCTTCTGGGTGCCCCAGTGCGACAAGTTGTTGGAACAACTTGTAACAAGTCCGTTGAGCTCAACAACATTGTAGCAAGTTGTCAACATGCCGTTGACAACTCGTCAACAAGCTGGGAACAAGCAGTGCGAACACATCCTGCTGACAAGTTTGTTGGAACAGCATTGCTGCAGGTTAGTTACAACTTGTGCGTTTTTACGTAAAAACACGATATCACAGATGAAACTACAACTATAGTGGGACGACACTGTATTTGACTTATTAATGCTAGCTAGGCAATACTAAAATATATATAATTCCGCCTGACTAATAGGCTAATACTGACACCGTTTTTCATTATTCTTCAGTTTCTCTTCAAATCTTTAAGCGTTCTGATTTTTCTTCTTCACAGAACAGAAACGTGTGTGAAAGAATACACATGAAACCTCTCAATACTTTTGCAAAACTTTCACATTTCGACATTGACGCTCAGTCGAGTCTGGACCAGAGTACGCTTGTATTTTGGCTCTGGTCTTTTTGCGTTAATAATATTATGGCATGTATCGTATATAAATGCACGAAGCATGGCGTTCCTCTTGGTTTTGCACGTCAAGTCTTCCAGTTCACCATCCTGGGCCTTGCTTCCTTCGTTTGGAAAAGGATTACCTATAACCTTCGCTGAGTCACGAGATTGATCAGTGAGACACTGGAGATGCCGTCATCACAATGACGCCATCTCACACAGTATCTCTGCAGCTATGGTCTGGGGTTCTCCAGTACACCCTTGAGATACTCCTCAATAACATGTTTTACTGCAAAAAGAAAAGATAACCATCAGTTAACAGTTCATTATGAAAAGACTATGGAAATCATTACCGTGTTGGAGGTTTTATATGTAATAAAAAATTATGTTAATTTACATAAACTTTAACCCAGAGTAAAAACAAGAAAATTAAATTGTATCTCTAAGTACTATTTAATAAACGAGCAGGAGTGTTTTATCAGATATAACCAAGAGTTTTATATCTGATAAAGCACGAACTGGGAGTGTTTTAAATGGCTTAAAAAAGACCCATAAAGATGCATAATAATGTTTAGCAAAAGTAACGTCCTTCCCACCTGCTTTATTCCCAAGACTGGCGGCCAAACTATAACATGTTTCGTCATTTTCGTTCTTCATTGTCATATCTGCCCCATTTTCTGTAACAATGTCAATGCAACGATTCAGGGACTAATTCCATTGTTGGAACAAGTTGTAACAAGTCTGTAGAGCTCAACAATCACAGTCAACAATTAACCTTGTACTGTACCAAGTTGTCAACGGATTTGTCAACAGCGCGATGGAAACAAGCGGTGAGAACACATCCTGATGACAAGTTGTTGGAACAGCACTGTTTTGACTGTTACAACTTGTGTGTTTTTTTCGTATGTAGTCTGGATCTATATCTTGTCTTTTTTGTGCTATATGCAAATCAGTCTTTATTGACTGTATTACATTACATGTGACGTAGTCTGCATCAATCTTGTAGTTTATATATACAAATCAGTCTCTACTGATATAACCGACGTCACAGAATGTCGTTCTACAGTTTGGTTCCATAGAAAGACAAGATAGATCCAGACAATTTCACATCGTAGAGGGTGGAACATGACCTCTTCACGAGAGTTACGGCCAAATGGGAAGCATGCTCAATAAAGAAATTACGTATTTCCCAACGAGGAGCACACACAAACCTAGCAATGTTTTTACAATCTCCTGAAAGCCACCAAACACTGCATACATTAACGCTGTTCCGCCATTCTGGAAATTTGGTGAGAAAAACAAACAAATGTAGTGAGATATAGTGCCTCGTTTTTCAATTCATTTTCTTGGCTTTCAAATGAACAGACTTCCGTGAATAATATCTAATTACCATGTCGGCATGATTGATGTCAGCCCCGTGGTGCAACAGTTGACCAATAATACCACTCTGTCCTTGACTGGCAGCAAACAACAATGGTGTTTCACCTCCTAAACCCTCTTTGTTCGGATCTGCGTGGTTCTCTAGCAACAGTTTGGATGCTGCTTTCTAGATGTAGAAATACAATGTAAAAAACAACTTATCTAAAACGACTGTTGAAATAACTAAACTGTTTAAAATTAACAGGTCTAAAATAAACAGTTTTAAACACAACAGAAGAAAGCACCTGTCTATGTGCAGCTGCCCACATCAACGGTGTCAATCCTTGCTTGTCCATGGCATTGATGTCAATTCCTGCAAATAGTAAGATTCTTAAATTTACACATTACGGTTTCTGTGATCACAGTAGGAATTTTGCATACTAGGTAAATTCTAGGTTTCTGAAGGATTTGTACTGGCTTGTGTGTTAGGATTCCTAAGTGGGTTCCTGACAACAGGAACTTCACAACATCTTCTTCCTTTAGTTGCAAAACATTGGCAGCAGGTCCTCCAGAAATCGTTTGTGTTGCACCAAATAAAAGTTACGACGCACAAGTTACTTACTCGTGTGTTAGGTTAACACACGAGTAAGTAACTTGTGCGTCGTAACTCAAACATTTCTTACAAATCCTTCAAAACTTAGAATTTATGTACGCTAGATCTCCACTGTGATCACAGAAACTTTGATGGTGTAAACTAGGCTTTAAATGGTATTCTACATTACTTCAAAGTCTGTCTATGGGGATGTGAAGATTACCTCTCTCAATTTCTTCTTTAATTTTCACAACTTCACCTTGCGCTGCTAAGAACTGCAGAGATGGATCTATTGAACACCAAATGTACTTGTAAAGAATGATTATCAAGTTATATGATCAGTTATAATCTTCATTTTATATTGAAAAGTTCACACAGTCATTTAGATAATCAGTCATACAGATAATCAATCAGTCATTCAGATAGTCAATCAATCATTCAGATAAACAATCAATCATTCAGATAACTAATCATTCAGATAATCAATCATTCAGATAATCAATCAGTTATTCAGGTAATCAATCATTCAAACAATCAATTATTCAAGCAATCAATCATTCAGATAATCAATCATTCAGATAATCAATCATTCAGATAATCATTGATCTGAGTCAGTCAGATAATCTATCAGTCATTCAAATAATCTATCAGTCATTCAAATAATCTATCAGTCATTCACATAATCAATCAGTCATTCACGTAATCAATCAGTCATTCACATAATCAATCAGTCATTCACATAATCGATCAGTCATTCATAACCAACCATTCAGGCAGGCAATCAATCAATAGCTCAGTCTCAGATAATCAATCATTCATTCAGACAATCAATCATTCATTCAGACAATCAATCACTCAGACAATCAATCAATCATTCAGATAATCAGTCATTCATATCAGGGGCGGATCCAGCGTTTTGGATGACAGGTTTACTAGGTCCACACAACCACTAGGGGGGTCCGGGGGCATGCACCCCCGGGAAATTTTTAAAATTCGGGCCTCTGAAACAGCATTTCCTGTGTTCTGGCATCACCTTTTAAATTAATTTAATGGTTAGAAAATACATGTTTTTAAGAGAATTTTGGACCAATATACGCAGCTCAAACAATGAATTGAACGTTTTCGGAAACTTATTAGCTGGTGATAAAAATATAGGATTGGCAAATTGCTGACGCATCGATATCTATTATAAGTACAACAAGTAGAGATGCTTTTAATATAAACATAGTTGTAATTTTAGATCTATACGCTTTCAAACCAACCGCTTTAACAATGAAATAGAAACCAAACTGCAAGAGCGTGAAAGCTTTACAATTATTTCCGGATTCTCTATCGCAAACGCAATGATTCGGTCACGCAATATTATAAGAATCATACACACATTTCGCGCTATCATGAGTGTAGACTGTGTAGAAGTTACACGTATAAACATCGATACGCTTGTTGACGGATCGATATTTATTATACAGTAAGTAGAAATAGCTTACAGTTATAACTTTAGACTATATACTTTTAAACAAACCTTCAAAATGAACAAGAAATCCATGTAAATGCTTCTATCGCCAACGCAATTTTCAGTCACGCAAAATTATAAACATATTTCGCGCGTCCTCGAGTTCTGTTAACTTTCATTCCCAGTTTTCTCTAAATACTGCTCGACTCACAGGTTTATGACCGGTTTACATCCGTCGGAGCGCAGCCGTTTAGCCAATCGAATGGCGTATCGACCGGTTTACTCTCATTGAGAAAACTCCGACCACCGGTTTACTCATAATTGCGGGCGGTTATGTGTTATTCATGCGATGTTTCAGTCCATGACCCACAACGATACATTAGCAGATTATTTGTCTAGTATTACAACATTTCGTAAGAGGAAACCAGCGCGATAAGTCCTTAATTAATTAAATGCTTATTATGTAAGTGGGTCTAAATACGCTCGGTAATCCAGAATCAAATTTCAATAAGAGTATTTAAATGGCATAATAGATTAGACAACATCAAGTTTATGAAACAGAATATTCTTTAAATTAGTTATATATGTACATGGAAGGTTATAGATTTTCTTTCTTTGGAAAATCTGACAGGTTTATATAAACCTGTCAAACCTGTCTGAATCCGCCCCTGCATATAATCAATCAGTCACTCATAATTAATCAATCAGTCATTCAGATAATCAATCAGTCATTCAGAAAAATTACCAATTACAGTATACAGGCAATCAATCAATAGACTAGTCTCAGATAATCAATCAGTCAGATAATCAATCAATCATTCAGATAAACAGTCATTCAGATAATCATCATTCAGACAATCATTCAGATAATCAATCATTCAGATAATCAATCATGGTTGAGAATACAAATGGTAAATTCAAAATGTAAAATTATGTTTCACTTCTTTTAAGCCCCAACTCCATGTTGAACTTCCTGTCATAGTAAATTACCAAAAGTTGTTCTGACGTTGTTCACAACATAGAAGGTGGGAGGGTACGGTTTACAAAGTTTGCTTTGTCAATGTACATGTAATAACGTAAGGAGTGGTCTGAAGTTCATGTCCAAAATTGTACAAACTTACAATGTGCAATGTCACTGTCGTAGCTGCTTTCTGAAACAGGAGTCACATTTTCACATTTGATCTAAAAAAATATAACATTTATCAACTGTATACTGTTTTGTTTGTAAAATACATGACCTAGTAATTTAAATGTAGGATTTAATAGTAATTAATATATCTGTAATAATATAAATACATTTATAGTGAAAGAAAATAGATTGAAGTAGACAAAAACTGACAGATCTGCTGTACAAATTTATAGCAAAACATTGCATCTACAACCACACATAATTCTAGGAATCGTAATTAACTATTTGAACGCTTTCCAAATATTAAATAATACAACTTGAAGCTATTCAATTGAAGCTATGCATAAATAATTGAATTCTTTTATATTAAAATAAATTATTAATAAAAACTTGAAAAATCTCAAACCTTAACGGTGTCCATACTCGAAGCAGAATCTCTACTCTTGCTTGACTTGCTGGAGCTGGATCGACCACGCTGTACGGGCACATCTGCTTAACAAAGAAACACATGTTTATTTACTTTGTGCATAATTGTCACATTTCAAAACAAAAAGCCACGTGCACTTTACACAAATATCGAACGTAAACAATTAAACAAACAGAGGAGATATACATTATCTATTTGCTCAAAACTTATGAAATCAAACAACGAGTAAAAGTACTTTATACTAACCTAAACAGCGGCCTCCAAGGACGGCTGCTACTTCTTGATCAGCCCCAAAATCATTTTGTTGTTGATCAGCAAAGTGATTTAAATCTGCCATTTTTCTTCCCACTGATCTCGAAACTTTGTGACTGGAGTGTGAACACCACCCTAAAATCCAGGCTGTGAATCAGGCGTGCAGGCCTGCCTAAATGAAAACATTGAAGTTGTTTATAGTAAATATTTTTATTTTCTTTCTATTTCTTACGATTGCTGTACTTGGATAATTTTTGCAAGTATCTGCAAGTATATCTAAGACTCTGAAAATATGGATGATGAAAATTTATCTAGAAACACGGTAGGAAAACTCTTGTGATCTTATTAAAAATTATTTGATTTCGATATACAGTATATAAAATCGTAAAAATCCATATATGATATTATTAAATCCAAGCAGATTACTGTAACGGTTTTAGTGAACACATTTTAATCTAATCCTTTGATCCAGATTGGTAAACCTAGCTTAATCTGGCTAAACTTAATATGGATAAATTATTTAATTATTAGGTACCGTTGCAATACTGTCGCCATGGTCCTACCCGGCTTATGAGAGCCATTCACCCCCCTGAAAATATTCAAAATGGTACAAGTTCAAGGGGATGAATGTCTCTCATAACCGCACTGGCTAGAAAAATGGCGACAGCATTGTTATGACGAACAAGATGGCAGGTAGGCATTTACTTGGGCAACTCACATATACCAGAGAAAAAAAAAAAAAACCCGAATTTTTGACTCTGTTGACATAGTCGCCGAAGTACTGCGGATTCAGGTAGACCATTTAATGCGAATAGTTGTCGTGTTAGTTTTAACAGTTGTACGATGACGTTTCTAGGCAGATTTTCGACGTTTCTAAGGCGTGGCTTCAATGTTTATTTTTAAAATTTGAACGTTGTAATTACAAGGTAATTGCTAAATAGTATACCTCAACATAAGGTTTCCGTTTTTATAATGTAGAAAAAATCATCCTAACGCAAAACTAAACCCTAACCTAACCCTAACTTATTTAAAAAATTGATATAAAAACGGAAACCTTATTTTGAAGTATACTATCTGGCAATTACCTTGTAATTACAACGTTCAAATTTTAAAAATAAACGTTGAAGCCACGCCTTAGAAACGTCATCGTACAACTGTTAAAACTAACGTGACAACTATTCGCATTAAACGGTTTACCTGAATCCACAGTAATTATTGAGAATCATGGCAGTGGTTACACTTGGGGTTGGCTGGCTTTCTGTAGTCTGTATGGTCTCTATTCTGTGAACTTATATTTTTATTCTGTCTGACACCAGATGACTTTACTCGTCAAGGGAAAAGAAAAAAAAAAATGGAAAAAAAAAGAAAAAAGTGTTGGGCGTTATTAATTACCTACTCTCGCAGACTTTGTTTGGAACATGACTGAGAAGTGTTTTTATTGTTTTGAAAACAAGTTTTCCATCTTACAAGATTTTTGTCAAATTTAGAAAGCCTTACGGAGAGATATAAAGCGAGCAAAGATCTTTGCCGTACAACATCTCACAAGAAGAATTAAAATGTTAAAAAATAAAAGGTATGGTAGTAAATTGCCTTGCGCATCTTATCAATATGGCCAAATTACTCAATGTACCCTATATATATTATTTTACTCTGTCTAATGCCAGACAATTTTACTTGTCAAGGGGAGAGTGCTGACCCTTAATGGGTTAATCAGATTATCTGCTTGTGCATTTAGTTAACCCATTGAGTGACAGCAGTCTCTCCTTGATAAGTAAAATCGTCAGGTGTTAGACAGAGTATTTTATTCTTATTTTATAGAGGGACAGAGCAACAAGTTGAGAAAAACACGAGAAAAGCAACTAGATTTTATGAAGAACTTGAGTATATTAAAGTAATGTAAAAGTTGATGCTTTATTTTGTGATCAAATAAATAAATATTATATATCACTAAGATCAAAGCATTACAACTTATATGCATCAATATTCATCAGGAACTTGACATCGATACTGTCATAAAAAAGATCCAAAATAAAGACTCAAGTGATTCTATGGTGGTAGGTTTAATTTTGATATTACCTAAGTATGGGACATTCTAAATCCAGATCCCCCCCTGAAAATATATAGTGTGGATCACCCCCTTGTATATATACAGTAGTATGAATCACCCACCCACCCCACACCCCTGAAAATATCTAGGCTGGATCACCTCCTAAAAATATCTTTGTTGGACCACATACCCCATCCCTGAAAATATCTACAACCCTTGGATAGGTGCGCTTCTAAATCTGTACTTGTCCCCGCTTGGATTTGCAACTGTTGCCACAAAAATCCAATCTAAATAATCTCATCCCCGATGTAACATTTGCAACAAAAATGTATGTTGTAGGTTACCGCAGAGGAGGTTGAACAACGCGCTTTGGATCGACTCATTTCATCAAAACCAATTCAGGATCATTTAAAACTATCAAATACTACATGTGCAAAAAGTAACCTTGTTTAATTCTTGTGTATCACAAAATTCATTCCTCCTACTTACCTTTCTCAGTCGTTTGACTTTAATTTCTTTTCCTATTTCTCTTTTCCTTTGCCAGTACAATCCTCTCTCAATGATCCAGCTGTTAGATCTGCAAAGAAAGCCAAGACAAAGCTCAAACTGAAGCAAGAAAATCTCACCATTCCCACCATCCCGACATCGATACCTTCTTCAGCAAGTGACAACGACTCTTGCCAGTCAGACAATGAAATAGAACTGGAGAGAACTCCAAGCTCATTTTTTGTTCAGAGTTTATCGTCTGTGAAGAAACGTGACCCACATAGCACAAGACAAAATGGCAAACCTGGAAAACAGAAAGAGAACAACTTAAATAATAAATCTAGAAGCAATAAGAAACCTCAAAAGGTATATTACACTGGCTGACATTGACCATATATTCGTGGGTTTGAACTGGTTCAAATTTTGATCAGAGTTTTCGCCATGCCCGCGATAATACCCAGTCAACTTTCATCAACTCTCATGCAACTCTTGTTCTCGTTTGACCAGGACATGCATAAAACTCTCATGCAAACTCTCGTTTCTGAACTCTTATCAACTCTCATGCAACTCTTGTTCTCGTTTGACCAGGACATGAGAGTTGAGAAAACTCTTATGCAAACTCTCGCTTCTCAACTCTTATCAACTCTCATGCAACTCTTGTTCTCGTTTTTATATTAGGAACGCAAGAAATCATCAAACAGAATGGGGCAAAGAGCACGACAAAGGTATAAAATAATGCCTATTCTATTGCTGAGATGATATCTCAAACGTGGTTATCCATTGTAGGTCTTACATTTGTTGGTATGCTTTGTATTTGTTTAGAGTTTGGAAAGAACAGTATGGTAAGAAGGCGAACCACGTCAAGTCCAGTGATAAAATGGCAAAACCAAAACAGGACAAGACTCGCAAGAAATTGATGACGAACGCAAATCAAAAACGGAGACAAGAAACAAACATGAATAAAGGTTAGTCTTATTCTAATATTTTAAGATTAAAGCGAATAGTTATGGACGAATTAGGACGTAGCTTTTAGTTTTCATAAATCTAGAATAAGTCAAAACAATGGATGCCAAAACAATGGAATATTCTGATCACTGGATCATGACTGGATGACATGAAGAACAGTGGAATTTTCAAAACAATGAAAAGGCAATGGGACATTCTGATCACTGAATCATGACTGGATGACATGGAGAACAGTGAAATTTTCAATACAATGAAAAGACAATGGAACATTCCGATCACTGGATCATGACTGGATGGCATGGAGAACAGTGAAATTTTCAATACAATGAAAAGACAATGGAACATTCCGATCACTGGATCATGACTGGATGGCATGGAGAACAGTGAGATTTTCAAAACAATGAAAAGACAATGGAACATTCTGATCACTGGATCATAACTGAATGGCATGGAGAACAGTGGGATTTTCAAAACAATGAAAAGACAATGGAACATTCAGATCACTGGATCATGACTGGATGTCATGGAGAACGGTGGGATTCTCAAAACAATGAAAAGACAATGGAACATTCTGATCACTGGATCATGACTGAATGGCATGGAGAACAGTGGGATTTTCAAAACAATGAAAAGACAATGGAACATTCTGATCACTGGATCGTGACTGGATGGCATTATTGTCATGCGAAGACTTACAAATCTGATTTTTATTTGCAGGCGCCAAGAGAAAAGGGAACTCTGTGGAAGAAACGGCAAGTCATCCATCATGGGAAGCAAGCAAACGACGAAAACTTCAACAAAATATCAGTCAGACAAAATTTCAAGGACAGAAAATTACTTTTGATGATAGTGACTAAAAGAACTAATGACTTAAGCGAAACTTTCTGTACAGTGTACATTTATTTAATGCATGCACAACAAAATAGATATAATATATAAGGCAAAATTCAATGTACTGTTTTTTCACTTTTGTTGGTTTCAGTAAAGTCATGTAAGTTTCCATATCCTTTCTCAACGGCCAGATTATAATAGTTTTTACCCTATAAAACACATACAAATCATATGTATTCTCTATTTGTAATTACTCTGCCTATGTTCAGTTCTAAACTGTTGTATTTCGGCTGCTGAGAAAGATCGTGACTCAATCTTTGCGACCATATGGAAACCAGGCTTAAACGTTACACGACAGCAGCTGGTGATCAACTTCAATGATGTCGAGACTCTTGAGACCAAGAAAATTGAACTGCTTGCTTACACTATCAAAGTTTCTGTGATCACAGTAGGAATTTTGCATATAGGTATAAATTCTAAGTTTTGAAGGATTTGTAAGAAATGTTTCAGGGAACTGACATACTATTAAACACTGAGTCAGTTTCCTGAAACATTTCATACAAATCCTTCAAAATTTAGAATTTACCTATGCAAAATTCCTATTATGATCACAGAAGCTTTGATAGTGTAAACTAGGTTTTAATTCTATTTTATTAATCACCAAATGCCACATATAATGAAAAGAATAACATTATTTATCACTCATCATCGTCCTGATTTGACGCACCAGTCCAATCGTAAGGCAACCTAACTAATACCCAAGGCTTTTCTTTGGGCAGCTGAGATATTCTTGTAGGATTTTGCGATACTGGTACAGGTGATTGCGGCATTCCGCTGTATAATTGCGACATTCCATTGGGTAATTGTAACATCGCACCCGGTAATTGTAACATTTCTCGCGGTAGTTGCGATATTTGCTTTGGCGATGGATTCTTTATAAAAATTTCCACTCCTCCAGTAGAGCTTGACACATTCGTCAGTTTTTTATCAACATGTAGGTTGAATTTCCCTGCTCCACCCTTCACTTTCATATTTCTTTCAATCGACTCTCGTTTTTGTCCTGATCTCACATGACCATTTCCTAATTTAACTTGCTTGAATTTCCTGGAATTCCAATGAATGTCTAATCTTCTATGTAGTCTATTTACCTGTCCAAATCTTTTTGCAATATTGATGTTTTTAAATCTAGTCTGTTTATTCCCTTTTCTTGGTTTAACTAGAGATTTTCTGACGGTATTTTTTCGCCTTAATCTTTTAAAAGGATCCCTTCCAAAATGTTTATGATTTCCATCTACTTCACCAAAACTCTTCAACGAATTCCCCTTCGTTTCCTTTTCAATTTTCGACCGTATATTCCCTAGTTTCTCTGGATTGATAATATATTTTCTAACGGTAGAATAACCAGAATGAATCCTTGATCTTTTAAAAAGATTCTTTCCAAAATGTTTACGCTTTCCATCTCCTTCACCACTCTCTCCCAACGAACTTTCTTTTCCATTTTCGATTCTTGACCGTTTCCTCCGACCAAAGCTCATAAAATTCCATCCGCCAACTGGCCTGACTATAGCGGGCGAAACGACATGAACTAACGGCTTTTGTGTCGGCAATTGCGGTACCGGGAACTCAGCCATTCCTGGTTTAACGATGACTTTAATTGAGTCTGGTTTTGATGAAACTTTTGCCAAGATTTTATTCGCATGAACGGTAAATGAACCCGGTGTATCTTCCAAAGAAAAATGAGCTTTTTGTCCTGTACCTTCGCCTGGCGAATTTGATGCTAAGACCGAAGTAAACTCTGTCAAGATAGCGAAGATAACATATACTTCTAATAGCATACACATCTTATTTCCTGTTCAGAAAGTGACGAAGTTAAAATGTTTGAATTAATTAAAGAAACTTATCTTGTTACGAAAATGCCGTCACTTGGTATACAAACTGTTCAAAACGTTTTCCATTTTATATTTAACATTTTATTCAGAAAATACTAAGTTAAAGACTAAATAAAACAGAAAAAATAAAGATGACAATACATTACCTGCTTGCAGTAACAGGTTGTATAGACTATAAAGTTCCGGCATCATTAATATTTGGCGATTAACCGCATGATTGCAATATTATGCACATGGAATTATTCTTAATCCAACAAATTTTTGTGGAGAAAGTAAAGATGTAAGCTACCGAGATGAGATTAGTGGAAAGGAATTTAGTTTGTGTTTTCTTGTTGATTTTCCTGATCATACAAGCAAAGTGTATGCCTGCTGGCCAAAAGCCGAAGTTCGAGGTAATGTTAGTCTTCTCTCTTTGTACTATTTAAAGCCCTGAGGGATGTTTACGGTTAATTATCTTCTAGACTTTCCCCACCAGAATGACATACACGAGTAGATCAGAAGACACTAGACATATCAAAACAATGAATGCATGATTGGATGGCATGGAGAATAGTGAGATTTTCAAAACAATGAAAAGACAATGGAACATTTCGATCACCGGATCATTACTGGATGACATGTAGAACAGTGAGATTTTCAAAACAATGAAAAGACAATGGAACATTCAGATCACTGGATCATGATTGGATGGCATGATGGAGAACAGCGAGATTTTCAAAACAATGAAAAGAGTTCAAAAGACAATGGAACATTCTGATCACTGGATCATGACTGAATGGCATGGAGAACAGTGAGATTTTCAAAACAATGAAAAGACAATAGAATATTCTGATCATTGGATCATAACTGGATGGCATGATGGAGAACAGTGAGATTTTCAAAACAATGAAAAACAATGGAACATTCTGATCACTGGATCATTGTTGTTATGTTAAGTGTTAGAATATTAGACACCAGCACATAGGATAAGAAATCAAACTTGAGTCTTTTTAGGTTGCGCACAAGGCCGGCAGTATGGATGTGATGGCATCACAATTCACAGCCGACGTTAAACTGAAGTCAGACACAGTGAATGTGGACGTGAATCCTGGAGATCTGGAGTTTCCGTTACAAAATCACACTCCGCAAATAATGCATGTTCATCAATATATCCCTCCTGTACTGGGAAAGAGGTCTGACCCCCTGTGATGGACAAGAGGACTAGTGGCCAACAGAGAAGAAAGGAAGTTCTGAATATGTTCGCAGATAAAATACTGAGACAATTGCAGAGTAGAAATTTGAACAAGAACATAATATTGACTAACATAACAGACCTCTTTATTTTACTGATTCATACCAAAAAATTTTAATTAAAATTTTATTACACAATACACATTTTGAGTATAAACCACTCCTTTCCAGCTAGTTGTCATGCAAAACTATTTTAAAGTTAGAATGCTGCAGATTGAGTGACATTACCCTAAAAGAACAAGCAAAATTTCGACGTTTCAGGAAAATTTTGAAATCTTGAGTCAGGTCCTAGAATAGCAATTCCTACAATTCATCAATTGTGGGTTCTAGCATCTTTTACGGGCCTCCTTTAGCTGGAGGCCAGGGACAAATTGTCCCCTCCCCTCTCTGGGCGGCCCTGGGTGTGAGGTTGTAGGATATTTTGTTCTAAAGGTTTAAAGGTTGATTCGACCGGTTTTAACATGTCTAATCAGTCTAGCACTGGTTGAATGAGTTCATCGAAGCTTTCAGATGTTCGTTACAAACTTGAAGATTCATGCGAGAACAAACAATGTTTCTATTTGCGATTGTTCACTCGTACACGCGAACGACGGTAGAAGGGAATTTTTTGACAACGTCAGCAACTTTCGAGTATAATTAAAAATCACTTCCTGTATGTGGAAACACCTTTCACAACAAACAACAATATGGCGTCAAAAGAAGACGATTTGAAAGTCATACGATGCACTTATTTGGAGTTAAAAGAGCTCGCAGAAACGCTAGAAAAGCCTCGAAGTAGGAATAATAGAGGTTCAAGGACCGCTCCTTCGAATTCTGCTAAGAAAACTAGAGAAACGCCTCGCGATGAGCCAGGAAATAAGGTTAAAGGTAGCACTAAATCAAGCAAGGAGCGCGGAGTTTCACGTCAGCAAAAGACTTTACCCGATCGACCACGAAAGGAGAAAGATTTGCCAGCTGAAAAAGCTTCAGGGATCTCTAAAAAGAAAGGCGTAGCGAAGAAAGTGACTCCAAAAGAGCAAAATCGTACTACAAATAATAAAAATGGGTTGATTAATACGAAAACAATTCCAGGGCAAACGACTGTATCTAAAACCGTTAGGTTTGACGTTCAAAATACGAAAGAATCGTCTGAGTCTGAAGGGGATATAAATGAGTATGATAGAGGTTTGATTTCACCAAACAGATTGTTGTATGATCCAGCAGTTAGGAAGCAAACATCAAGGTCTAACAACGGTAAAACCTTGGTCCAAAATGATCTATGTTCAAATGATGATTTTTGTCGAAATATGGAACGGCTTAGTACTAATGATAGTACACCCTTAGCTACAATAAAAAGTAATTTACAAGATAGCCCTGCAATACCACATACCCAGACAAATTCCAAAAAGGTTAACAAGCAAATGGCAGAAACACTTTTAGCCGACATTGGCTATCTCGAAGCGGACCTTGACAACCTGTTGTCAAGGCGGATAAACTCCAAGGAACAATTGGGTCATGTGACTAAACTAAGCTGTCAGGTTGAAGAGAAGTGCAAGGCAATTATGTTGACAGATCTATACGTTTTTACAACGAGGGAAGTTTACCATATTCTGTGGCGGAACGGTATTTACCAAGTCATCGAAAAGTTACGAATGTTACAGAAATCATCTCAAGATGATGAGAATTGGACAAGTGAAGTATCTTGTGTTCTGCAAGAGTTTCTAGACTCGACTCGTACATTTATCACCAGCTTGATAACAAGTCTTGAAGATAAACACAAGTTTTTATTGAAAAGCTTTTTAGATGCTCCAAACCAATTTGACGATTGTAGTCGTGCGGTAAGGTCACAGAATACTACACAGAAGTCCATCTCCATTGTTTTTTGCGTAAGCGTTATTCGTCATGATTCGTCACTCAGCAAGTACGGTAAACAGAAGCAGTCACCCCCCTGGAAATACTAAAAATGGCGCATGTCCAGGGGGGTGACTGCTTCTGTTTACGGTACTTGCTGAGTGACGAATCATGACGAATAACGCTTACGCAAAAAACAATGGAGATGGACTTCTGTGTAGTATTCTGTGGTAAGGTTTTGACATCAGAGGATTAACGGGTAGTGCGGAATGCAAAAATTAGCTTTACTTTTATTGGATAGTGCTGTCGGTTCTAAACTTTTCTCCTCAAAGGCCAGTAAGGCCATCAGCTCAGGTAACTGGAATACCCAGAGAAAATCTGTTGTGTTTGGAAGCATTTTTCCCAACTTGTGAAATTATATTCAGACAATTTGCATATTGTAGGTATGCAGAATCAAACCCCAATTGCAAAGATGAAGGCACATGCACTGACCATAATGTTATGCAGGTAGCCTACATTCAAAACATGTACCAGTACTACCTCTGCATGATCTAACCATGCTTAACTCAACAGCAAGCTCTGTACTACATCAGATCCACTTAGGGTAGCTCACATTCAAGAACATGTACTATCTCTTTATGATCTAACCATGTTTAACTAAGCAGTGAGTTCTGTTCAACATCAGATCACTTTAAGGTACTCAAGCTCACATTCAAGAACATGTACTACTTCTGCATGGTCTAGTTAACCATGCTTAACTCAGCAGTGAGTTCTGTACAACATCAGATCACTTTAAAGTAGCCCTCATTCAAGAACATGTACTACCTCTGTATGATCTAACCATGCTTAACTCAGCAGTGAGTTCTGTACAACATCAGATCACTTTAAGGTAGCCCTCATTCAAGAAAAAAGTACTACTTCTGCATGATCTAACCATGCTTAACTCAGAAATGAGTTCTGTAACATCAGATCACTTTAAGGTGGCCCTCATTCAAGAACATGTACTACCTCTGCATGATCTAACCATGCTTAACTCAGAAATGAGTTCTGTAACATCAGATCACTTTAAGGTAGCCCACATTCAAGAACATGTACTACATCTGCATGACCTAACCCTACTTTGCTTAACATGGAAAGTCAATGTCCCCAGAGGCGATCAGCTTTACATGGTAGACAAATTTAATATTAAATACGTATTTATTATAAATTACTTTATAACAGGTGAAAATGGCTTTACGAAGCTGTCATCATTTTATGATTTTCCTTGGCGACATAGAGCGCTACAAACAAAACCTTGCATCTTCTAAAGAATGGAGCGTAGCACGATCATATTACCTCAAGGCAAGCAAGATTGCTCCGAGGAATGGCAAACCTTACAACCAGCTAGCTGTCATTGCCGTGTACGCTAAACGCAGGCTGGATGCCGTGTATTACTATGTTAGGAGTCTCAGTGTTAGTAACCCTATCATGACGGCGAGGGAAAAGTTACATGCCATCTTTGATGATGTGCAGAGAAAGGTAGCTTATAAATCTGAACAAATATTTTCAAGTACAGATCCGGTGTAGATAGTATTCAACAACAAAATGGTGTGGGTTGTGTCTGAACTATCGAGATGTTCCCAAAAGGTTTTTCATACAGGAAAAGACAACCTGTTCCTTTAATATCCCAACTAAAGCTGAAATCAGTCTGAGGAGTGTTTTCACCTTTTTCATGGCAGCTTATAGTAGAATATTTTCAGGTAGTTCAGATCGCACAAACCACGACAGCTTATTATAGAATACTACCTACACTGGACCACTACGTTTGAGATATCTTTTTAAGGTAGTTCAGACACAAACCACGACAGCTTATTGTAGAATACTACCTACACTGGACTACCACGTTTGAGATATCTTTGCCAGGTAGTTCAGACACAAACCACAACAGCTTATTGTAGAATACTACCTACACTGGACCACCACGTTTGAGATATCTTTTCCAGGTAGCTCAGACACAAACCACGAAAGCTTATTTTAGAATACTACCTACACTGTCACTGAACCTCTATTGGCTCTAAGTTCGAAATATGATCACAGTGTAACGGTCTTTTTCAGGCCTACGATTTGCACGTCAGCGCTCAAATGGAAAGAGAAAGACAAGAGAATGAACTGGCACACAATGCAAGAGATGACAGCACACACCAAAACTGGAGGCAAGGACGTCGCCGACACAACAGCACGAGCAGGGATAGTGTACACGACAGGAGAACGACTGAGGAAGGCCGACATGAGTTCTGGGTGTTTTATCAAAGTGGCACCCGAAGAGAATATTTGTTCACACCAAACGGGCTACTCAAAGGACAACAGAATCAGAAGGAAATGAATGAGAAGAAAGAAAAACAAAATTCTAAAATCTCTCTCAACGAGGTAATAGAGTATGCTATGGGCATCTAGGAATTTTTCCTAAGTTAAGTACCACTACATCGTCTTCAACTCAGGAATAGATGAACTGCAAAATAATTTGTTGCGTGCACAGAATGATAGGATTTCATTTCTGTTTTAGATCAACAAACAATTTGAAATTTTCTTTCTGTGTTGTCATGCTATGCTTTTTTCAAAAATCGGGTAAGATGTATTATATATTCAGACTACAGCAGCTCTCGAAAACGAGGTCGGCATTTAGGAATGCCGACCTAAATGCCGATCTGTCAATTTTTTTGTAGGATTGATCATTTCTTGGAAAACCATCACAAGACTTTGGGATTATTTCGTACTCTGCTGCGACATCCTGCAAGTCCAGCTGTGAGAATGAAGCGTCTGGTGGAAATCATCGCCATAAATATGTTTGAAATTGAAAACGTGGCTCATGAAGGTTCACTTTTTTTACTTCACCTTACGCGAGATTTATGCAAGAATAGTTTTATGCTGTGCAATTTCAATGAACCCTTTGTAAACCACTTTACGTAACATTGCCATCCAGTCATGATCCAGTGATCTGAATGTTCCATTGTCTTTTCATTCTTTTGAAAACTCCACTGTTCTTCATGTCATCCAGTCATGATCCAGTGATTGAAATGTTCCATTGTCTTTTCATTCTTGTGAAAATTCCACTGTTCTTCATGCCATCCAGTCATGATCTAGTGATCAGAATGTTCCATTGTCTTTTCACTATTTTGAAAATCCCACTGTTCTTCATGTCATCCAGTCATGATCCAGTGATCAGAATGTTCCATTGTCTTTTCATTCTTTGAAAATTCCACTGTTCTCCATGCCATCCAACCACCCATTAATATGATTATTATCGCTTGCTAATTTGGTATTCTAGATTATGGTCAGTTCATGCAAGGCACGCCTCTGGATCTAGCGCTCAACCTGGGCAGTGATATGTTTGCATGTTTATGCAAAGCCGCGTCTGATGCGATCAAATCCTCAGAAAACAATTCAGGTAGGTACCATTCCTTCAAATCGCGCGGTAATTCTCGGAAAACTAGGAAACATTGTTGTAGAAATATTTCTTTGTTTTCTTGGAAACATTGTTGGAACACGTTTTGCTTCTCAGGAAGCAAAAATATTTCCAAACAATTTCGGAAACTTGTTCGGAGTAAAACCGGCATAAAACATCGATATGTACAAACCTTTGTCACGTGTATATTTGTAGACCAAGAAGCTTGTCACGTGCCGGTTTTAACCAATTACGTCCCGGCGATCAAGGCGTGGTTTGATTGGATGCAGCAAAACATCTCCCTGCTTAGATCATCTTCTGTAAGGTACGAGAAAAATTGTTAACTAGAGAAGTCGCTGTCGCAAGATAGGCTATAGGCACTAATGAATTTCAATCATGCGTGTATGTTCCATTTCTATATTTCCATAGTATCAAAGAGGAGTTTTGGAACAGTATCGGGGTGTTACTCAACAATCTGAATGGAATTTGTGGAAAGTCGAGTCCTGTTGTCCCAGGTACTTTTCATGGATATTGATGGGTTTCAGGACGAGCTACAGGCCAGGGCAACAGATGATAGTCAAGGCACTTAACCAATTCCACCGCATATAACGAAAAAAATTAACATTATTTTCTCACTCTGATTATACATTGCCGCAAAATGCCCGGTTAACAAAATTTTTTAAGAAAATTTTCGCACACCTTACAAGAAATTTTTGTCATCTTATATACTGGAATGCCATATAGTGTGCTTATTGTTTAAAAATTCCAAAAGCGTTGCAAAAGCGAAATTGTCTTGTACCGCCGACATTGAAGTTTATCACAATGTGCGGCACCATACTCTCTCTGAAATCTACATATGCAAGACGTTTTCTATATGACTTGCACAAGAAATTTTTAGTTTTGGACTTTGCTACCAGGAAGAGAAATGTATTTTCTAGCCCTGGCTCTGAAAATGCAGGCTGTACACGATCTGCCGCACGATAATTAATGCCCATACAGTGAAACCCACTTGTTATAGTATTTTCCGATTGAAGTTTTTTTGGTACGTTTTTGTGACGTGAACATATCCTACGTATTCTTGACTTTGTTCTTATTTTGTCAGGCGAAATAATTGTAACATTACCTGAAGATGATCATCTCAATGGTTTCAACCTCCTTGCACAAGCGAGCAAGCCAAGGAGCAACGTTGACTCGAACTTGGAGAAGGTAAATTCACTTCAGGCACTATAAAAGAAACGTTAGAAATTCAAGCTTTTTGACAATTGTTGCAGTGGTTCACTAAGCACTATCGTGCTCAGATGATGGTCAACCTGCAGTTAGTCAGAGTGAGAAAATAATGTTAATTATTTTCATTGTATGTAGGACTAGTCTTGTATCTATAGTAGAGAGGTATAAGGTCAAATACAACTTAACAACCGTGCAACTGACACGGAATAAGCGTTCATCTAATACTGAGACATTCTTTTTCCGAGAAAAAGCGCATTATTGTTATAGCATTTCCTTGAAATAGCGCGTGCAAACCACCCGTTTCTCGGAAGCCAGTAATTCCAAATATATATTTCAAACACCGCAAACGCACGACAAGTTTGGCCACGTTATAACAAAGTGAACAGACGCCACTATATAGTTTATTTTAAACCGGTTGTATAACAAAGCTTAATTACATTTTAACTACCCGTTCTGTAGTTAAATATAGTAGTTAACTCTTAAATACACGATGCTTGGTTAGTTCACTTGTACATTAATTATATATCAGTTAATTAATTTAACTGCTTTTTATACCACCTGCCCCAGATACCGATGTAGCATTGTGGGATATCTTTGTGGTTTTTCATGCGCAGCTAGCAGTTGAACGCAGTTCCGCTTTCGATTTGAGCTCTGTGTTTACGCTTTTTATTTTTGTCGAGAGATTCTTTCCAAAATGGCTGGTAATATTCCTCATAATTTCACTGAAGTCAAGATGCATGTTGGACCTCACGAGTACGGGCCGTTAAACACCTTCGAAGGGGAGCACATGAGCAACTTTTGTGGTGGAAATTACTTCGTCACAACAGCGAAGAATGATTTTATTCCACTGTACCGACTCCATGGTGGCCAGGCCGGGCAAGAAGGCCAATATTGGAGCGTCGAGCAGCGTAGCGGAAACGAGTCGTATCGCCATGACATGGCTGTGCTGCCAAGATGGGGAAATACTCTTCAAAACGAGAGCGTGCTTCTTGTTCCGAAAGGAGTGTTGTTGTTTGAAGGAAAAGTCGGAACGCAGGGGCACTATCTCGGCGGTGGATGGCAAATCTTTATTCCACGAAGGATTGTGCAGTCGCTTTTCGAGCTACAGCAAACAGCTTTGCGACAATCTGGAAATCCCCAAAGCGCCGATAGCATTATCCAAAGAATGAATAACATGCAATCCGAAATGGTCGTTAATTGGGAAAAAGAGAGAGCTAGACGCATTGCAAGCCGGCTGCAGAGTTCTAGCAGTAGTGCTCGGTTCTTTAACCGTCTGCCAAGCTCAATCCAGAATGCTCTTCAAAGTAGTGGATCTAACTACAGCTCTGGTACCAAGCTACCTACTGGGACTTATACTTTGCACGAAGAAAGAGTACCATGCTTAGATGGCTCGTTCAGAACTTTGTCTGTCTCGGTGAGAACTGAATTTGTCAAATCCGTCACGACACAACAGGGACGAACCACTGTCACGACTAATTATTACAATATTATTTATACTACAGAATACAAGTAACAAGCAGCCGTAATGGACAATTCGGACTCGAAATTTTATACGTGGCATGATAAATAGTTTACTCTGGCTCTCCAATTGTAACGATAGCTTATTTTCACAATGATTGAATTGAACTCATTTAAACGACATATAGCTGTGTAAATACTAAATAATTATTGTCGAACATCGTGCGAAACGGCCCGACACTGACTGGTATGTGAAATTTTATAATGAAAGTAGATACACTTGTAGTTCTGTAGTCTCCTTTTTTCTTGGAAAAATTAATATCAAATTAATAAACTTACACTGATACCTGCTGTTATTTATCATTGTAACGACGACAAACCACACTGGACCACCACGTTTGAGATGTCTTTTTCAGGTAGTTCAGACACAAACCACGACAGCTTATTGTAGAATACTACCTACACTGGACCACCACGTTTGAGATATCTTTTTCAGGTAGTTCAGACACAAACCACGACAGCTTTATATTGTAGAATACTACCTACACTGGACCACCACGTTTGAGATATCTTTTTCAGGTAGTTCAGGCACAAAGCACGACAGCTTGTTGTAGAATACTACCTACACTGGACCACCACGTTTCAAATTTAGTTACACTTTCATATTTAGGAAATGGTATATCGCCTGCTTAGAAACGAGGCTGTACAATCGATTGCAAAATTCCTATGTGAGTTTGAAGACCTACCTTTAAGATTTGACGAAAGTTCTCAGACTTATTACGTCACTGACATCATGACGAATACGACATCGGAGGAGAACCGGGAGACTGGAAACGAAATTGACGAGGTAGGGTAACGCCCCGAAGAAACTGCAATGAATTATAATGAAGTTTAGTATCTAAATTATAAGGGGTGTTGCCAGTGGGTAACACTGGATTTTTTTGCATTTACTTTTCAACAGGATGATATTGAAGACGATGTCATAATCGAGAGCGTCGAAGATATCGACTCCGAGTAAGTTAAATTACGATTCTGGGTTATGGAATGGTGGTGTCTTTATTAGGATAAAATACTTGGAAGTAATATCGAGTAATTTATAATGTAATTATAATGATTCTTCTAACTTTCTCTACAGTGAGGAATTACCGAGTCCTGTACGAGAGCTCAAGGTAAATTTATTACTTTACGATATTTTATACAACAGGAGCTGGTTGTTCAAAGCTGGCTTAGCCCTAATCATTGGTTGAAATTTAACCTGCTGTTTTAGTTTATGTATTTCTGCAAGTCTGTTTATTTCAAAACTTTAGAGAGGAAACCTCCCAATGATCCAGACAAGATTTCTCAAGAAATATTTCCAAATTTGTAAACCAGCTGTTGGGAAATTTGCTTTGAATTTTAGGTTAACTTAGGGTTAAGCTTTTGAACAACTGACCCATTTGAAAGAAACAATGATAGGAAATTAATGAATTTCTCAATGATGAACCAGTAGAGGATCTATTGCAAATGTTTCTTTACTAAGCCGTCTTTTTAATCGGTATCTGGACGGTGTGAAATTACCTTTTCATTTACCTCCTATAATCCTTTTCTTTTCGTTTGTTTTAAGGCGAAGAAAGATGCTCTAACAAAAGAGATTTTAAATCAGAAACAGAGAGAAGAAGAGGCCCAGGTATTAACTTTCGTCTTCACTAATTAGATATGTATTTTAGAGCCGGAACAAAGACACTTCTTGTGCTAAACGTCTTCACTTCAATTTTCCAGGCTGTTTTAGTGGAACATTCAAGCAAGCCAACATTAGCCCTGGAAATTAACCCGCAATATCTCGTGCCCGATACGAACTGTTTCATCGACCATCTGCCTGGTTTGCAATATATTGTCGAGTCTAGATATTTCACTGTTGTTATTCCGCTCGTGGGTAAGTATATAGCTGTGTTTCACTAAGCACTATCGTGCAGCCGATGGTGGTCAACCTGCATTTATCAGAGTGAGAAGATAATGTTGGTTCTTTTCATTATATGTTTTGGTTTAGTATAGACCCATTGCATATAACGTCACAGCGCCGGTGACGATGCATCTGGAGGACAAATTAGCAATCTATGCATAATATAACTTTTGTAAACAAAGCAAATTTTGTAAAAGTTTATAATAATTTTGTATTAAAATAGTTAATTTTTGCGCTGTATGTGGTTGTTGTACCCGAACAGATATTGTTAGGGAGCATCTGGACACAGAATAGAAAATAGACCAGAAGCCTCACTCAGCCAAAATTGTGTCCGAGATTTTTTATGCGCAGGCGCGAGCCAGCAAGTGTAATCCACGCCATCAAACGCGAGCAATTACGCCATCAATTGCCATCACTAGGTAATAAAGATTGCTGTTTTAACCGTTTTGCTGACGAACGCTGACGTGATGTTCGCAGCAAGTGTCACATACGTCATCTAGCGTGCGAAATTCGTGATCCGCAAGGCAAAAATCGCGGACACGAAAATGTTAAGGAAAGGTGTACAGTGAGGCTTCTGGTCTATTATATATTCTATGATCTGGAGGACACTCTAAGGATTTGTGACGTCAGTGCAAAGGGTCTATTGTAAGCAAATAAATTGAATAGAGAGATGTCGTTTAATATTCCTGCTGTTTTGCAAGTCTCGACATTTCTGCAGTTGACCACCTTGTAACACCTGCCCTTGTAACGCTGACCGAAACTGGATAGATGGAGGTTTTATGTAAGACCCTATAATGGCTGGTTTTCTAAAGTTTCTGTGATCACAGTAGGAATTTTGCATAGGTAAATTCTAGGTTTTTAAGGATTTGTAAGAAATGTTTGAGGAAACTGACTTGGTGGTAAACATTGAGTTAGTTCCCTCAAACATTTCTTACAAATCCTTCAAAACTTAGAATTTACCAATACAAAATTCCTACTGTGATCACAGAAACTTTGATATTGTACACCAGGTTTTAAGTTACCTTAACATGAATCAATGTATATAAACGTTTTAGTAATAAACGAACTGGACGGTTTAGCGAAAGGGCTTTCAGCTGCGGATACTGATCAACAACAACGTGCAGACTTCGTTGCATACCAAGCAAGGTGATGTTTTGTTGTGATGTATACTTTCAGACTTTATTTTTAACTTTGCTTTCTGCAAGTGCGTTTTACATCTGTGACAGAGGTTCGATGCCTCGGTTACATGTGAGCAGAATGCTTCCAGTTTGACGCTACCAGACACTGCAGATATACACACGTAAAAATCTCACTAAGTTGGCAACAAGATGTGTTCGCAACAGGCTTGTGGCAAGCTTGTCAACAAGTCGTGACAACGCTGTTATTTTATCAAGTTGCTACGATGTTGTCATTGTCGAATTGCAGGACGATATACCGAGTTGTTGGAACAACTTGGAACAAGTCCGTTGAGCTCAACAACCTTGTAGCGAGTTGGCAACAAGCCGATGACAACTTGTCAACAAGCTGGGAACAAGCAGTGCGAACACATCCTGTTGACAAGTTGTTGGAACAACATTGCTACAAGTCTGCTGTGGGTTTGTCACAACTTGTGTGACGTTTTTACGTGTGTAGCTGGATCTTTATGCAAAGCTAAAACTGATAGAATTATCCATGCAGTTTATTTAAATATGTACAGTAACAGTGAGTATTGTTTCCATATATACCTTATTGTTTTCCCAATATATCCCTTTAGGGCTGCAGTAGATTTCTTGGAGTATAGCTTCAGTCTCACGGATCAGTCACAAATGTTGGCGTTAACAAGCAAGGGTTCAGTGTTGTCCACCATTGCGTTTCGTAGCGAAGAACCGACGGCTGGAAGGGTAAAGAAATACGACACTTTGTTTAATGAACAGATTTATACTAAAGACTACTCGTCTATCCAACGCATCATCCATCTTATTGTAAACACAGGATCGACTATACACGTAAAAACGCACAAGTTGCAACAAATCTGCAGTAGATTTGTAGCAATGCTGTTCCAACAACTTGTCAAGCTTGTTGACAAGTTCCCATGGGAACTTTGCAGCTTGTTGACAATCTTCCCTGTGCGTTGTTGAGCTCAACAGACTTCTTACAAGTTGTTCCAACAACTTGTTATCGTCCTGCAATTCATCAATTTGTCAACAAGTTACGAGTGACAACCTTGTAGTAATTTGATAAAATAACAGCGTTGTAACAAACAAGTTGTAACAAACCTGCAGCAGACTTGTAGCAATGCTGTTCCAACAACATGTCAACAGGATGTGTTCGCACTGCTTGTTCCCAGATTGTTGACAAGTTGCCACAAGGTTGTTGAGCTCAACGGACTTGTTACAAGTTGTTCCAACAACTTGTTATCGTCCTGCAATTCAAAAATTTGTCGACAAGTTGTGAGTGACAACCTTGTAGCAACTTGATGAAATAACAGTATTGTTACAACTTGTTGACAAGCTTGCTACAAGCCTGTTGCAAACACATCTTGTTGACAAGTTGTGAGATTTTTACGTGTGTTCCAGACAAACTAGCTAGAATAGCGTGATTTATACTGGCAATGATTCTGGGAACAATATCTGATAACACTGATATATTGTGTATTTATACGAATAGACGAATTATCTGTCAAACTACTCGCACACTTTCATGTGTGTAGAGGAACTACTGCGTTTATACCCAGACGATCTATCTTTCCTTTACCCAAACTCGCTAAGACGGATCATATAAATTATAAAATTATTTTTTCATAGTCTCAAAATAAGAATGATGTTATTGCAGGGTATAAACGATGACGTTATCCTGAATTGCTGTACTCATTACTGTGACGCTAAGATGGACGTTGTCAATAAACTCGCAACAGGTTTGGAACTATTATAATATTACAAGACTATTGTTCACCTCAGTCACATGTAAGTGAATCAATACTGGATCAATAAGAGATGATTCTTACTGGACCTCTAGGGCGAACAGTTTAAAACTGATAGAGCTATCCAGTACCTGTAGTAACACTGGATCAATAAGAGATGACCCTTATTGGACTTTTAGGGAGAACAGTTTAGAACTGATGGAGCTATCAGTATAAACAAAGTAAGTTGAGTTGAGTTTTCCTCCTGTAGTAACACTGTATTTCTCTATCTTGTAGCTGATCAACCATTCACAATAAGACGTAAAGTGGTTCTCCTTACTGAAGATCGAAATCTTCGCTTGAAGGCGCATGTGCAGAATATCCCTGTTGTCACCGTACCACAGTTCCTAGAAATGATCGTTCCGTGAAAGTCTCGGTGTTTTCCAAGAACGGAGAGGCTTATAAACTAAGCGTATGTGGTCACGAAGCCCGCGGGATAAGCGAAGGCCAAAGGAAATTCACAGGATACAATTAGACTTCGTGTCCTACCCAACGTGAGAAGAAAGCACACGAGTTATGTACATCCGATTTGCACGTGTTACATCAGAAATAAGCGCGAGTTGCACCTCAAACGCACGTGAATGAACCATTGTTACATTGGTGGCTAGAAATTTGTTGTGAAGTCAGTTATTACAGAACCTTGGAAACCCTACAATGCTTACACCCGCAGACAGAAAGTTTTTGAAAGCTAAAACAAGTTTCAAACAATTGGAAAACATTGTTGTGTATAATTATTCAGTATAAGAGCCATCCAATTCTCCAGAGAATTTCCGAGCGACGTGCGACCAGCAGCCTGGGAACTATAAGCAGTGTAATATTTCAAAGATATTAAGGACGTATATAGCCAATGAGATCCAGAGCTCAACAAAAACTTAACTTTCTAATGTGAGGAGAGACTTGAATTCGATCATTGTGAGTAATTTGTAGAAGAAATTTATTCTTAGCAAAACAGAAATTGAATTTGAAATTAATTAATAATGAAACATTTTATTTGTATGCAAAAGCAGGCTAGCTAAAAACCAAAACGTTACCACAAGACTATCGCAGCAATTACGATATTACAGTGTAGGTTGATTTCACTATATCGATCGTACAGCAGATGGTGTTTCAATAAACAGTTATCAGAAAATTAACGGCTCTTTTCATTTAATAGAGGCGCGAGCATAATTGGAGAATTGAGACAATTTTAAATGTCTCAATTAAAAAGTCTCTTCTGACATTGTCAATGCAAATGTTTGCGAAGATCGGAGGCCATCTACTGGACCGTAAGAGTTATAGAAATCCATGCACCCATGTTATACTACATTGTAGTTCTGAATTTGAATACTAAGCTGTATCAATAATACATTTCATTAGAGATGGCAAATGTAAATAAGGTTCGAATTAATTAATTTTTTTGTAGGAAATTTGAAACAATTGAGTGATGTCGTAAATTAAATTAATCGTTTTTTTTGCCCGTGGAATCAGAAGGCTTCTCTTATTGGTTGATGTTATTTGTAAAACAAACTTACTGGGATTATAAGAGGAAATTGCGAAGAGGAAGCTGAAATTACGATCAGTTAAATTAAAAATGTTTGTTGACTTTTTGTTTGCAAGTAGATTACTTGGTTACACTTTTTTGAAAGCAGTGTTTTGTGTATACTGGGAATATCATTGTTTAGTTCGCCTGTGTAACTGAGAATTTGTTTTTATTCTGTGTAAAAGAGAGCATATATGTATATATACAATTATATATATATATATATATACATGTGGCATTTGCGCAAACAAGAGCTAGTGTTTTAGTAGCGACCAGTGCATTATACGAAATACATAACAAGAGTAAAGAATCTTTGGAATGTAGTAAAACATCGTATCTTTCACGTGGTATGCTGGAAACTGATTTCAAGGAGCGGACATTTTATTTATACAGTTTTGTTGGTTTATCATTTGATCGTACGTTTCTGTTGTTGCTGTACAAACCGAAACTAAATATTTAGCTGTTGGGCATTATAGGATTTGGAAACAGTGTTAGTCGATGATATAATCAGAACAAGATATATGATCATAGATATAGTCGAATTAATCCGCCCAGAACATTTGAAGAGGATCCCAAATTCTGAAACAGTGTTATTCGGCACAGCAGATACCTCGTGATAGATAATTAACGGAACTAGATACTGCTGGCCGATCATAGCGATAGAGCCAAGGCTATATAGTCATCAACTTCCAATAGTACTCAAGACGACACATCTGAGAAGGATCTCAATTCTCACTTTCCTCATGATTTTTGGACAGAGCGACGAATACACAATAATATTCACAGTCCTGTCGTTTACAGGTTTTCTGTTTAATCTTATTCTTCTAGTATGTATGATCAAAGACCCATTACATATCTTCAGAAATCCTTCCTCGTATTTGATCGCAAACTTGGCCATTGGCGATTTAGAGTCGTGCGTTGGTCAGCTGATTGTCCAAGGTCTTCCAATCTTTGGTCACGTGGACACAGCTATGGTTGCATTTAAAAATGGGGTTACATTTTTCGGCCCTGACCTGTCGCTGATGTGCTTGTTATCGCTTGCTGTTGAGCGCTATTTGTGCATTACAAGGCCTATTCTCTACCGTGTGCACTTTACCACTGCAAAAATTGCTAGTTTAATCGGTGTGATATGGTTCGTGCATATTTCACGGATTACAGCTATTAATTATTGTATTCCCAGAGGAATTGTCCAATTACAAGATGTTAAACTGTATACGTTGCTGTTATACGCGGTTTGTATTCTCTTCTGTTTAATTGGAAATATCTCGATATTATGTTTTATGAAGCGAAATGACTCCCAAAGCCGCGCGCTACACGAAGGAACTGGTAACCAATCTCGGACCGGTAGTACCAGTCCGCGCACTCGTTCTCAACGAAGGTTTGTGGTAACCATGGTAATCGTGACGTCATGTATAGTAGTAACTATAGTACCGTTTACAGTACTCATGTTCCTATTACAGATTCAAAATGTTTCACTTCCGGCGGAAGTAATACAGACTGTACGGATGACGTATTTCCTGAATTTTGTGATAAACCCAGCGCTATATTTCTGGCGCATGCCTCGTTATAGAAAGTCTATAATTATTGTTTTGTGTTGTAGAAAGCCCAGCAGCATATAAACTTGCTTTGAACTCATCCGTTTATTATTATTAAAATCAATAAAATATCTGTGTAGACAGTGGGACAGAGGTCAGTTATAGTTCTTTACAGACAGTTTCAATGTTTTATATCTATGAATTTTTCTGTGTTGGTGTAATGTACTCAGGTGAATATGATGCTTGTGATGTTACTCTGAGTGTATATCCACACCGGGCAAGCTTGAAAAATATGCCTGGCCGCGGTTTTATATCTAATTCCTCAGCAGACCGTAATGATTCCCTGCCGATAGACTGATCTAGAAAGCACGACGCGAACGAAAGACGCGCCTTCGAAAACAAATAAATTCTTCATGCAAAACAAAACGTGTGAATAATTTATGGTCCCACATTTTGAAAACAACGTTAAACTAAGATTTTCACGTCATTGGAGCAACGTCAATGTTTGTTGCGACGTTGGAGGAGTTACAAAAAATCCTGTCTCGGCAGATACCGGATCATTTTTCCCCAACTTAGCCGTTTGTAAGGTTATTTTAAAAAGCTTCAATTTATTACAGTAACAAGTTCCTTGTAGCTCTCAATCTTGAGCTGAAAGATCATGTCGTCGTGTTCGCCTAATTGTGGTTTCTAAATCTGTCTAATCTAGTGTAAAGACTAAAGTATAGGCCTGTTTCCTCTTGCAATTTTTGCTCAGATTTCTAGCGTCGTGCTTCGGATGGTGTAGACTCGCTCGGTCTCTCAAAGGTGTTTTTATTCGGGCGGATTACATATACAAGGTGCGCCAAAATGTGGGCGGGCGAAATTTCTTCCGCGTGCTTTTGCGCGTGCCCTCTTTGAACTCTCAAATAAAAAACTCTTTGAGAGCCGCACTTGGGGCACGTCTAAGCTAAGGGGGGTTATCAGCTGACATCAGACTGAGGAAATATAAATTTAATTCTTTGCATGTGGTAGAGTCGAGTATTTTTCAAAGAATTTTCTTTGCGATAAGACGATCAAATTCACCGTTTTCTATCATTCTATGATTCACTTCTGAAGACTACTTTTCTGTGAATTCTTGTCATGGGTTGCTTTTAGTGGACAGGCATGGTTCTGATCGTCCTTAAAATGTTCTAGGAGGGGGTATTAGTAACCTCCGGACTGACAGGCCCTCTATTTCCTAAGGAACGTGCAGTGATAAACAGAGGCATAGCCAGCTCCAAATGAGAGGGGGGAGGTTAATTGTCCTGCCGTCTAGGGACATGGTCCCCCAGGAAATTTTTCTATTTTTAGGATTTTTAGGGTAATCGATCCTACCCTGAAGGAAAGTGGGGTCTCTTGACCCACCATGCATAGCCTCGCAACGCTTATGGAAAGTCATATATTGAAATGCGGTAATAATTACAACAAAGCCGACGAAACAGGATGTAGTTTCAAGTGCTTGACCCCTGAAGCTTAATCAAATTTTTTCCGGGATATTTATCTCTTGTGCAAAGAATAAAGGTCACACTGAGATACTAAGGAAGTACGATTCACTACCTTGATTGAACGAAGAGGCCAAAGCTGTATGAAAGGCTAGCATCCAATGAAAGCGTAGTAATGAATGGCCAAACGGTCAATGAATGCTTCACCGGTTTTCTGAGTGAAGTACCGACACTCTGATTGAAAATTGCAGTCACGGGAATATAAATTATGATTCTAGAATAGACCTGAACCAGAGCTGAACAAAATTTTCGAAGTTAGGAAACTTGTACGTTCTCACAAGATGCTGGATTTCTGAACGTGTTTACAACATCAGGATGTGTTAATTGGCTACGTGAGACGGTATATAGATAAAGAAGGAACCTGTCTGGTATTTTATTATCTGTGAAATCAAATTATATTTGTATACGCGGAAAGGCAAATACGGGCAAATAGCAAAAGGTTTATCTGTAAGATTTTTATCAAATTACCAACACAGAATTAAGAAATTACAGAGGCGAATAACTTGACAGAATTTGGCACCACAGTGTGTTAACGAACTGGGGAAGAGAAGGCATTCTATTGGTAGCCTTATTACATCATACTCGTTGTGGTTTATACGTAGTGTCAGCTCGTGTGCTCGGCTGTATTTTGATGACGTATTCCTGACGGATCTCGTCACGTGTCACCTGAAAGACACTGCCAAGTGCAGGATTCTCGCGCCATACTGAGAAAGTTTCGTATTGGCTACAGCGAAAACATTCATTGTTCTGGAGTTTCTCGAGGGCCACTTTTAAACACTGAAAACAGAGTTCTTTTTTTCTCACCAATTTTAAAACAAAAGAAGTATACATTCAAAAACTGATATAGTATTATCTCATCCATCCTCTGGTAATCGCTAACTGCGACTTCCTGTTCTAGGTGTTAAGAAGATATACCCACAGAATACTGAAGAGCTAGTTTCTTTTTCATGGCCACTTTTAAATACTGACAACAAATACTTTTTAATACTGACAACAAATACTTTTAAATACTGATAACAAATACTTTTAAATACTGACAACAAATACTTTTAAATACTGACAATAAATACTTTTAAATACTGACAACAGATACTTTTAAATACTGACAACAAATAGTTTTAAATACTGACAATAAATACTCTTAAAAAGTAGAAAACTATATAATCCACAGCAGTCACAGCAGTACTGGCGGATCAATCAAGGCAAGTCAACTACACTCGTGACAGTCAATAGACGTCAAGATAGCAAACAAAAGGACCGCAAATCTTACAAGGAAAACAAGAGGAAGTTGAAAAATATTATTTAATAAAATTAAACTTTGTGAAGGATTCTAAACTGGGAGGTGTCGACAGTACACTCATGACGGTGAATCTCATTAGCATATAGGGCGTGGGACAAATACACGAAATTCTTAAAAACTCGAAACATACCAAACGATCTGAAAAGCGGAATTGTTGTATTTGGTGTCTGTTGAAAACGTCGTGTAACAAACTGTATGCTATATGTTTCGTGAAAAAGACATCACAAGTTAAAAGACAAGTACAACGTTGTGAAAATAGTCGAAGGAAATCTGATACGAAAATTCTTATACTAATCCTGTACGACAAAGCAGTTTAAGACAAGATTTACTAGAACTTGTGGCTTAAAACGAGAGTGATTATATTCACACTTCAAGTGTGGGAAAATTGTACAACACTGGCATCGATTATATGCAGTGATTCGCCTTACTAAATCTTACGTTTTCGCGTATCAGTAAATTTGAAATTTACGCTATAAGCAAAAGACATTGTTTCGCGAAATCTAAATTCGAGTCGTGGGTTCTAGAACTGAGTCTCGTGTATAAGTTAAACCGGAAAAAACAAACATCTACATGCTCAAACATGCCAATGTACACGACGAGTCAGAAATCATAACATAAGGCAGAAATTATGAACGATAAATCTGTTTTATGTAACGAGACGTTTGAGCCTCAAATCAACGTGGGAGTTGCGAGACATTCCATAGTCGGCACGACAGTTTACGGAGCTACGCTACGAAGCCATGTGAAGAAAATAAAGCATAGAGGAGGCTACAAAGCCATGGCTGTTATACCGAAATATTGCCAAGAAGAAACCAGAGAGAATTATGATAACACGACAGGTTTGTGTTTTATTATTTTACTTATTGAAATCATAGCCGGCAAGGTAGTTAGATATTGATATACCGTTTTGTTCGTGTCTACAAATGCGTTGTACTGTAAGGGTTCATCAAAACCAATCATAAATGTATGACGTCATATCCTGTCAGTAAGAATGGTTGTTCCATGTATAGTTATGTTGTCATGGTGTGTGGGATTTGCTATGTGGTACAGTACAGCACATGTTTATCAACGGTAGACACGTAAAAATCTCACAACTTAATTGTCAACAAGATGTGTTCGCGACAGGCTTGTAGCAAGCTTGTCACAATGCTGTTATTTTATGGAGTTGCTACAAGGTTGTCACCCACAACTTGTTGACAAGTTGTTGAATTGCAGGACTGATAACAAGTTGTTGGAAGAACCTGTAACAAGTCTGTTGAACCCGACAGCCTTGTAGCAACTTGTCAACAAGCTGGGGAACAAGCAGTGCGAACACATCCTGTTGACACGTTGTTGGAACAGCATTGCTATAAGTCTGCTACAGGTTTGTTACAACTTGTGCGTTTCTACGTGTGTGGATAAAAGGAGTGACTACATTGTTCACAATATAACATTGTGCAGTTTGGTGGTCACTATTAGATCAGTGTCAAGCACATGCATATAAAAAGGCCCGTTTGCAATTTTTGAAGCGATTTTAGGTGCGTTTTTCTTCATGTGGTGGATCATCCATCATCATCACCATCAATCAATGTTATTTAAAATGAAAACACGCTAGCCTCGCACAACTGAAAGCTGATTTACAGGAGGGGCGTGATATCAAAACAGTAAAATATGTAGAATATTATATGGACCCCCAACCTCTCCTCCTCTCCCAACAACAAAGAAAAATAAAGTCAAGTAAAGAGAGTTAACTACAGGGTGTATCAAAATAAACGCAATTCATCTTTTGTGCTTAATAACTTTCGAAATACTATTTCTAGTTAAACGCTTTTAGGCTTACTTCAAAGCCTGTTCTTTTCTCTTCCAAACAAACTAGTATCCTTGTCTCCAATGCTAGTAATAATTGCACAGGAAAAGACTTAGTAAAACCTATCATTTTTAGTTGCTGTTTAATTATGCAAGTTTACTATGTTATTGTTTAGTCGATTTAGATATGTTAGAATTTTCTTCTTTAAACTTTAATGTTGTCGTCACTACATCTGGAAAAACACGTAAGAACAAATTAAAAGTATTTTAAAAGAGACAAAGTTGTTTGAAAATCCTAAACGAATGCTAAAAATCGTCAAAACATTCTGGTGTCTGAGCTCCCAGAGTGTCATCGAATTGCGATGTAATGTAAACAGAAATTATAGCAAGTTGATGTAAGTCAGCTTAGATGGTCCAAGCCAAAATTATATCGCATTTGAAGTTTCAAACTGAGTTAAAAATAGTGGAAAAAAAGCCGTAATTACACTTATTGTTACAATCCATTTAATAAAATGCAACATTTTTTTGTTTTAATGAAAAAATAAGTTATTTTCATGAGAACGATTTGTTACTCCATCTCAATTTTTTTAATCTCCAATCGCAATAACGTAAAGTATTATTACCCGCGAACCAATGAGTCAAATTTAAGAAACAACCCACTGTTAGAAAGCTGAATGGCTATGCTTTAAAATGAATATAAACTTTAACGTTTTCGTCTATTATTTGTTTAGCAATTTACATTTCAGTCGAGGATTGCGCTTTTTTTGATACACCCTGTATAGTAAGTCAACATGGTTCTAAAAGGACAGTTCCGCAATACTACGCTTAAATTGACTGAGCGAAGTCGCTCTTTTTGCATCGAATGGAAGATTATTCCACAGCATTGATGCGCTATATTTAAAGCTTCGCTTCAAGAAAAAAGTTTTTGGTTTTGGAAGTGCTAGATCCATTTCCTAATTTCGTAAATTATGGCCTCTATTAAGTTCTCTAACTCTTAATGCATGTGTGAAGACTTATGAATGTTCACATGAGGGTACAAGGGTACACATATACTCAGAACATTCATTACTCGTCTATTCAAATGCAGAGCCCTGTTGAAAAGCATCTTTTGGTGGTCTGGGTAAAAGTAAAGATGAATACATTTAGAGTTGATCACGACGTGTTGCGGCGGAAATCCAGCAGTAAATTTATACCAAGAGTGAGCAGTGTTCGTGACTCGCTCTTTCGAAAATTGAAGTCCGGATCAATTGAGTATGAGAGCGCACGAGAGTTGGCAAGTCACGCGACTTCTATCATGTATTCAACCCATTGAACTATAAATAAACTGGAAGGCTAACTCAGGGGGGGGGGGGGGGTT